ATAAATTTAAAAGCCTAAACATTTTTTTCCTTTCAGCTAAACATTGAAAGTCAAACCAAGGATTTCTGTTTATTATTTTATTACCTTTAGCAACACTGTTTGGTTTCTGTTCAGCAGATTCGTAAACACACTTAATTACCTGATTAATATTTTCTTGGTTATCATCAGAAATTGTAACTAACTCTAAATTTAAATTAGTACGTTTATGATAGTTTAAAGTGTCACTGGCGGTCCATTTTAGCTTAGGAAGTAAAGGTAAGATTTTACCACACTCCCCTCCAGCGACCCTAGGACTTGCAACATTTAACCTAATTTCACATGGAAGATGATCTGAGCCTGGGTACGGCACTACTTTGAAATCATTGATTAGATGTAAAGAATTTACTGACACCGCCGCGTAATCAATGACTGATGAACCCAATGACCCTATAAAAGTAAATTCCCCTTCCTTATCGCTCTCAGATCTCCCATTCAAAATAATAAGACCTGTGTTGTCAAAACACTCTAAAATTTTGCGCCCTCTACTGTTAATGATTTTGTCTTTTGATTTCCGAAAATCGCTGAGTTTTTTTGTTATATTGCTAACTTCTCCGTCTAAAAATCCCTGTTCATCCCCTGTCCTACAATTTAAATCCCCTAATAAAACCCAATTTTCTTTCTCACTGCTATTAAGTAATGTAACTAGATTTTCGAAGTCTTGTTCCCAGTTGTTACAATTTAAATAAAGAGGCAAAAAATAAAGAAAGCTTTGTGTATTCATGAAACTCACTTTTACAATGTTAAAATTATGTTCTTCGACACAAGTCAAGCTGTCAATAAAAGGAGATGATTTATTAATTGCTATAATCTCTCCACCACTATACCTCCCTACATTTCCGGTCCTGACGGCTAACTTAAAAAACAAATTGAAATTCTTCAGCTGAGCTGAAATAAAAACTACATCACTCTCTGATATAAAGGTTTCCAAAAAAAATATACAATCATAACTTTTTAAAACATTTAAAAAATTGGTATCACTAACCTTGCTTTTGAGCCCACAAACATTATAAACCAAAGCCCTAAAAAGTCCCTGATAAAGATCAATTTCTTGCCTTTGGTCTTGTGGAGGATTGGCGTAGCCCTCTCACACCTCGGCCTGAGGTGGGGGTTTGATGATGTCGTCTGCTTGGGATGGACCCGAGGAAGCTGAGGAAGATTTCTTGTTCTCTGCCATCCGCGAAGGCTCCTTGGAAGCTGCCCCTGCGTAGGTCTGAGATGGCGTCGGTGTCTGTCTCACAGTTGAAGTTTCATTGCGCCTGTTTGCCTTCTCGCTCGGTAGTTTGGCAATAAAGTCGGAAAAATCGTGTCGAAAAAGCTCTTTAAGGATGTTTGCGCCATTGGTTGGACCAGATCTTAGACAGCCCTCTTCCCACGTAAACTTGTGTCCCTTCACATACAGATGATCATGAACTAGCTGCATCTTCACCTTGTCGTCACCCACCACTCGTTGTATTTCAGCCCGCACTGATACAAGGTAAGACCGTTTGTCCCTAATCTCACGAGGAAAGTCCCTATGTATAATGTACCCAGTTCCACTCAGTCTCCTAGTCTGGCTAAGGATGTATGTAATGTCGGAATCTTCAGGAATATGTGCTATGAGTGCCTTGCTATCTTTTCCCAGAGGATGGGCCCTGTTGACCCACACCCTATCTATCCCCAAAACATCTTTACAAAAATCTCTGATTATCTCCCGAAAGTCCGGATTTTTCCCTCTCCACTGCAATCCCTTGAATATAAGGTTATTTCGCCTTGATCGTGCTAAATAAATAAACCATTGTTTTGTGTGTTTTGTTTTTTTTTTGTTTTTTTTTTTTGTTTACTCTCAAAACCAGTGTTGATTCAGATTTGGATCAGGTAAATAAGAATGAGAGATAATCACAATTGCTCTAACTTGTTTCATACTCATCTGGATGATTTTTCAATATGTTAAGCCACCGGTGTTCATAATCGTATACAACCACTAAGAAGAAGTCTTAAAACAAAAAAATATGAATGAAAATGTAATGTGAGGTAAGAAATTAATCATGGAACATCTCTTACATTAATTAATTAACATGTGGATTGGCACATATAAAATTAATTAATCGATGGAAAATTGCACATTAAAGGCTCGTCCAAACCGAAGCGGGAAAGTGGTGGGGGCGGTGCGGGAGCGGGAAGGGGGCGAATGACCGGCGGGAACCAGCGGCAGCGATACGTGGCGGGAAAGAGGTAGCCCACACCAAAGCTGCAGGCAGCGGGAAGCAGTTCATTTCCATCTTAGCTACAGAGTGTTCGGTTGTGTTAAGTGAATGTTTGTATTTTATGCGTTCATGTCATGAATCGTAATGTACAAGAAGAAGAAGCTTTGCTTTTGCTAGCAACAGCTGAAGATAAGATGAAGCTGCAAGACGGCGATCTGTTTAGGTTCATGAAATCAATCTAAATGGACATTTATTTGGCGAGTACCATACCCTTATGCCGGATCAAAAGAAAGACGAAAGGTGGTTTTATATTTAATTTATTTTAGGATGACCATCGCGTGTTTTGATGAACTGTTCAATGAACAACGCACTGGAATAATCCTCAGCCATCTTCTCAAACGTCTCGGCACCAAATAAGTCATGTACCCATGTGTTCCTGCAGCGGTACGAGCGGGAAAATCCAACATGTTTCAAACCGGCGGGACGATCGAACAACGCTGCGGGACGGCGGGAGCGGTACCGCTCTAGTGTGGGTGCTCACATCTAACACCATGTGTTTTAAAATCCCGCACGGGAACTCGTCCCGCCACCTTCCCGCTCCCGCCGCTTTCCCGCTTCGGTTTGGACGGGCCTTTAATGGGTACAATGATGCATTTTAAAATGGTAGAGTTGTGTAGTAAAAATAATAACCTTATAAGCTTGAAATATAAAAAAAAAACAATTAAATAATACTAGTAAAAGCCAAAAATTTAAACCAAACCATTTCAACTTGTATTTAATTCCTGACTTAACAAAAGAAAATTTTGATGAATAGGCTATCTTACCTCCGCCTGTAGTTCAACATTTTTTACCAGCAGATGCTGACGAGTTTTGTTGCAAACAAAACATTGCCAAAGCATGCAAAACTTCAAAACATCAGAATAAATAAATACATAAAACATATCAGAAAACTGGGACATAACACTTGACAACGAGGATAGAGCTATCATACCAGTAAGTGCATAGACTGTAAGTGTATAGACTGAGACTACTTCTGTCACTGGGTCTGATCAGTTAGGCCTACTGGTATGATAGAACTATATTCGTTAAGTTTTATGTTATGTTCGAGTTTTGTGTTGTGTTTTATGTATTTATTTATTCTGATGCTTTGACAAGTTACACACTTTGACAATGTTGCATTTCTAACGAAACTAGTTAGCACCTGCTGAGGACAGGACCGGATTTAGCATTTTGGCGCCCCTAGGCCCAATAATGTTTCTGCCCCCTAGTCTGGTTAAAGTTATTTTCCAACAAACCTTTTTCAAAAAATTATATCAGGCCTATTATTATAATTTGCTTAACACCCCCTCCACAATGTGGTTCTGATTGGAGCCTAGACGTTTTAACTTGTAAAACAATTTTAAAACCACAAAGAAAATTTCTAATCCCACAGTATACCAGATATTTAAATACTACTACTACTAGATATTTAAATAACAATCACTTGGGTGTTTGAAAAAATATTTTGAGATGGTAAATAGCTCTTTAGTGGCTGTTTGAAAAACGAGATTAACATTGCTCTTATGGCGGGCAAATAAGAATTTTACTAACTACTAAGAACTAAGAACATTTCTATTATCACAGTTTACTACATATTTCAATTATAATCACTTTGTTTGAAAAAATATTTTTGGACCATAAATAACTCATCAGCTACTTGACAACACGTGTTTAAGGCAGGGTGCACACTGGAGAAACGCGTTTCAGGAAACTGGTTTCATCAAATTGGTTTCAAGGAAATCATTTCTTTAACAAATGCACACAGAAGAAACGGGATTCCATCAGTTTTGTGATATGAATTTGGATTATGATGATGGTGGTGGCTAAATAAAACGAAAAGAAGGAAGTATTGGGTCCACCCGTTGATTCGGGATGGTCAACACAGTAGGCTACTTACATTGTAGCTCGTTGATTATGCAGTGATCCTGTCAAATTATTTGATTTTATTAGAATGCCAAAGCCTCTTTTTGAACGTTTGGTGGAATCACTTAGCCCAATAATAACAAAGAAGGACACCAACCGGAGATTAGCTCTGAGTGCTGAGGAAAAATAACAATACAATGAGTTAAGTCAATGAAACAATAAAACCAAAAGAAACGTGAAACTGAAGCCTATACGAAATCTGTTTTTTGGATTTCATGTAAACCAGTTGCAAGAAACAAATGAAATTACAGTTTCATGCAACGCAGTGTGCACTGCCCTGTGTTAAACTAATGCATCCTGTTGCGAGCAACTAAAGTTTCTCGTTTCATGAAATCGGTTTCCTGAAACGGATTTCTCCAGCGTGCACCCTGTCTTAGTGTTGTCACTAAGCCCTGATGCTAGTGTTAAATTTCTATATGTTTTTACAAATATTTTTTCCTTTTGACCGTGTGCCGTGGTTTGTAAAAAAATTTTTAAACAAGTCCTTATGACCAGATAATGTTGAATAGTAACTGCTGTAGGCACAGTAATACGTTCAATGCTGCCACAATTAATAATGTTCATATTGTCACTAACATAACACCACAGCTTATGACATATACTTCAGTTTATGTGTTTAAGAAGCTGATTTTGAGAATATACAGTAGGTATTTAGAACTAGAACAGATATTAAGTATTAAGAAAGTTGAAACGTAATATCACAAAATTGAAAGATAGTTAATGAAAAAAAGTCATTGCACGAAAAAATTTAACATACAAATACAAATAACACCCCAAAGCTTTATAACAGAAATTACAACAATAAGAAGGCACATATAAAAGTAATAAAAATGTTTGCTCAACTAAGGAATTAACATAAAACTTAAATGTTAACGTCAAACACTAACATGTTATTAGTGCTTGGAAAGTAATGCAATTACTTGTGATTTTATCAATCGCTAATCTAATCTCCTCCAAGGAATTGAGTTGTAATAAATACTTGAAGGTTAGAAGATAATAAATTGATGTCTTGAAAGAAAACTCACTCTGAAGAACTGAAGTAACCTGAAGCATCACCTCGGCAAATGGGACAAGTGCGATTAGACTGAAAAATAAGTGTTGTTAAGAAAAGTTGTTGCTGTCAATATAATCAGCTAACTATCTCAAATCTTGAATCTGAATCACAACAAATCTAATCTCAAATCCAAGAACAACTTCCATAAGCTATCAAATTTAAACTATCATAAAATAACAATTCTAACTTTTATAATGTTTCTCATGTTTATTTATCTTTATGATTCATTCTAAAACTTATTGGTAATCGTTTAACTGTTTATGCCATAGAATTGCACGGCAACAAGATATCATTTTCTGATTGAAAGATCCCAAAATTATTTAAATCCTGCCTAAAAACACCAACTGAATTTTGTACCAAATTTAAAAGGCTCTAACCAGCACACCTTCAAAATTAAATTCCAGGACAATTCCAGGTTTACAAGTTTAAAATTCAAAATTTCCAAGACAAAACGTGCCAGCATAACTTACTTAATTATACCAACTAGGACATAAAAATCCCTTTAAGGACCAAAAATAACTCAGATGCAAGAATAGTATGAAACATTTTATTCCTTTAAGTGGTATGGCAAATTATTATGAAACAGTTAATGCCGTTCCATTACGGCACCAGTGTAAAGGGTTCAAAGTAACACTTCACACTGGTATAAGTACAGTTTGGTTAATGAATTTACATTTTTTAAATTTCTATGTTTATAAATAAGTAAAACTATTTAAGAAGACATATTTGACGTGTTTTAAGGTTTAAATTATTAAACATGTTTTTATTCACTTTTTTTACTCCTTTTTAACACAAATATTTAATGTTAAACTCATTTTCAACAGTTTGTGGCATTTTTTATCTACTACCTAAAGCACATTTTAAGTATTTTTAGTTACTCATTATCTTTACCTATTAGTCTGGCCGTCAGCTAGGGGGACCTGGAAATTTGGGTGGACAAAGGTTTTTTGACTGATTACGAATATGCCGGGTGCCACTTTGACACCCTTGGGCAAACGCCGACATATTGGAAAAATGGTAGCCAAAATAATTTTTTCTCTAAATACTTGAAAACTGTTGGTTTTAGAGATTTTTGTGAGGAGACATGAAATAAAGAGCGTAACATTTTACACAAGAAACAAGTCATCATCATTTTCGTTGACCTCATGGTTTTAGCATTAGTTTTATAAATTTAAGTTATTAGTAACTAAAAACATGCAAATAAATACCCATGACGGTATTACACAGATTCTTTAGTAAACATAGTTATGAAATCCAATGCATATTTGTACAAGTAACCTTTGTTAAAAATAATTGTTAGTGTCTTCCAACAACCCTCAGCCCCCCACCCCACCCCTCTACAGAGGCTGTAGTAGAGGTCATAAATAGTATAATAAATACAATATATTGCAATATATTGTGGTATAAAAGGAGGTTTATAGTTAAAATCCCTCTTCTCCGCCCAGCTTCATGGCCTACGGTGTCATACGCCTGACCCGCCAAACTACTGAAACCGCACTACCTACCGCAAGTTCCTGTTCACTGCTATTGTTATTTATTGTTATTACATATATAGATATTTATTTCACTGTTGGAGATTTAAAGCTTATCTATTGTTATTGTGTTTTCAAATTTTATTCAATAGCCTTTTATTAACTTTTAATTTATTCAAATGGGGACCCTAAAAGGTTAATATTACACAGATAAAATGCATTTATTTTTATTTATCATTTTATTTTAAAGGTTAAATTCTATTAAATTTATTTTACTGATATATTTTGATGATTAAAGAATTTACTGTAAGTTAGTAGGCTAGATGGGTAATTGAAAATTAGTTGAAGTTTTTGAGAATATTTTACATGTATTGTTGTTAATGCTTGTCGCTGTTTTTAAGTGGTTATTACAGCTCGTTTCTCTCAAATGGTGCGTTGTTCTTGAACCTTCCTCAACGGTTTTTCCTGTCTTTTTGGTAAAGACAGGGTCTTTTTCTTTTTACAATCGCTGTTATTGTTATTATCTTTATGTAAGATTTTATGATTTTGTTTTATAGGTTTATAAAATAATTTTTTTAACCACGGGAATATCAATTTACAATTTATCAACGTGCTTCTCTTCTGAAACAGCAATACCGGATGCATAATAAATGTCAATGACCTAAAATATCATGATTATGCAATATTGTATTTTGATGTTGAAATTCAAATCATGACAAAAGTTTGTATATTTCCCCGGGTCCCTATCATTTAATCATTTAATATACACAATCAATGCTAAATAATCGTGGTTAGTTCTAATTTTATTTTTGATTATTCAAACAGGGTGTCTAGTTTATTTCCATTACAAAATTCAAGACTAATTCCAGACTTTTCAAGACTAATTCCAGATTTTTCAAGACTAGTTTTTTCAACAATTAGTGGGTGTTGATACCAAAATGTATCAATTCTCGATTCTTGATACCGATACCAATTTTTATAGAGCTTATCCAAATTTTCTAAATAATACTACACCAACCCCTGTCTTTGTCATAAAGTAGTATTATGATAATGTTGTGTTTTCAAGTAAAGAAATAATGCAGCAATAAAAAATTCTAACAAGCAAATTTGTTTTTTTTTTTTTATCATGAAATCTTCCGTGTACCTACGTTTAGACATCATCATTGATTGCAGCGGCTACAGAAACGTGATCGTCGTCGTCCGCGATCACGGCAGTCATGAACATTTCCCGCGGCCTTATAGACATCACCGTCATCCCCCGCGGTCACGGAAACGTCATCGTCCGCGATCGCGGCAAAATCATGAACAATTCCCGCGGCTGTTTAGACATCAACGTCATCTCCCGCGGTCACGGAAACGTTATTGTCGACGTCCGCAATCACGGCAAAATCATGAACATTTCCCGCGGCCTTGTAGACATCAATGACATCATCGTCGTCTCCCGCGGTCTCAGAAACGTCATCGTCATCGTCCGCGATCGCGGCAAAATCATGAACAATTCCCGCGGCTGTTTAGACATCACCGTCATCTCCCGCGGTCACGGAAACGTTATCGTCGACGTCCGCAATCACGGCCAAATAATTAACATTTCCCGCGGCCGTGTAGACATCATCGTCGTCTCCCGCGGTCACGGAAACGTCAACGTCGTCTCCCGCGGTCACGGAAACGTCATCGTCGTCTCCCGTGGTCACGGAAACGTCATCGTCGTCTCCCGTGGTCACGGAAACGTCATCATCATCTCCCGCGGTCGCGGAAACGTCATCGTCGTCGTCCGCAATCACGGCAAAATCATTAACATTTCCCGCGGCCGTGTAGACATCATCGTCGTCTCCCACGGTCACGGAAACGTCATCGTCATCTCCCGCGGTCACGGAAACGTCATCGTCGTCATCCGCGATCGCGACAAAATCATGAACATTTCCCACGGCCGAGCAGATATCATCGTCGTCTCCCGCGGTCACATCATCGTCATCTCCCGCGGTCACGGAAACGTCATCGTCATCTCCCGCGATCGCGACAAAATCATGAACATTTCCCGCGGCCGAGCAGATATCATCATCATTGGCTTACGCAGTTACGTAAACGAAAGACGACGATCGCGGCAAAATCATGAAAATTCCCGACTTTGAAATCAAATTTAAGACTAAATCCCGACTTTTCAAGACCATTTTGAAATTCAATACTAATTCCCGACTTTCCCGATTTTCCCGACTACTAGACACCCTGTTCAAAGTTTCTAGCCTACACAATAAGACAATCCAAAGTCAAACCGGGCAATGAATACCCGAAAAACAACGTATCTTGTCCTGTGATTAGAATACCACTCGCCAGTCCTTTAGATTTAGGGAAGTAGTGCAAGTCTATATGTTGCTTCAAGGTCATACCCACCCCTTCCCCCCTCAAGGCCTACTGGACTCACTGTTGCTACCCATTACCCGGGCTCCTTTCGAGGTCATTGCCCAACCCCTCCCACCCTTCTATTGTGTTGCCTTTCTATTGTTTCTATTCTGACTTTTTTCGGGAAACATTAAATCTATTGTTTACGTAACAGCACAGAAGTAGGCTAGATTTTTATACTTTAAAACAGTACTGTAAAAAAAAAAAAATACTACGCATAGCGCCCCTAGTATCAGGAGACAAGCACGAGTTGACCATGGTAGTTCTTTTCTGCTTGTCTGTTCATTCCAGACGAATCTAATCGTAAAGCAAAACAGCCGATAACGACTATAAACTAGACATCGGTATTGCGTCATGGCTTCTTTGTCCTTTGCTGTTACGTTGTCGTTGGAAACGTATTGCTGTAATTTTGTCCTGGGAAACTAATGATGGTTATGGAGATTTAGATTTCTGTCCAAAACGTCAAAATATGTTGTCTATCCGAAAAAGTCGGATATAACGGATAGTGTCGGATATCAAATTTAGGCTCGGTTTGGATACGGATATCCGAACCGAACCGAATCCGACCCGATTTTTCGGATATCCGCACACCTCTAGTAAAAACTACCAAAATTCTAAAAACAAAATTTAAATGGCAACATCAAGTATAAGAATTAAAAAGAATACCCCCGCCGCAGCAAACCTGCAGACTAAGCGAATTTCCATTTGACTGATTGGATTTACACTGAAATGTCTACTTAAAAATATAACATTTATTCCCGATTGAAATAGAATTAGTTTAAAAAGTACTTAGGTTTGCTGCATAAGGGAGGGTAAAACTGTTTTTTTTTTGTAAAATGTTAATAGTTAGTAAGAAATAAAAAATTTTCCAAATTTGATCAAAATATGTTCATAAACAAGCAAACTACAACAGTTTATTTATTCTCCATAAGAATAACATGGGAATTTTAAATTTACAATTTTTTGAAATTTTCTCCGTAACAATTAGGCGCATAATAACGCTTCAATATACTAAATTATTTGTTTTTTTAAGCTCTACAAAATGGTTTAGAAAGAAATTGCAAAATTTTATGTTTTTTGAGTCAAAAATGGGAAAAACCTATTTTTACCCCATAAAACCCCCCATAAACCCCCGTTCCCATGGTCCGATCATGCTGGATCGCGAACTCGTTCAAATAAACGTAGGTTTACACGTTTGTACCAAATTTCATCAAAATCGGATCATTTTTGCTCGAGTTATCGTGCTAACGGACATATATATATATATATATATATATATACTAGCTGTAACCCGCGGGCTTTGCCCCGTTTAACTTCTTAATTTTCAAGATGATCTCGTTCGCATGGCTCAATCACGTCCTGGTTGAAGTTCGTTCGCTACGCTCACTCACCTTTAGGTTGGAGCTCGTTCGCTACGCTCACTCACCTTTAGGTTGGAGCTCGTTCGCTGCGCTCACTTGCCTTCAGGTTAGCTCGTTCGCTACGCTCACTTGCCTTCAGGTTAGCTCGTTCGCTACGCTCACTCACCTTTTTGGTTGCAAATTAGCTGTTGTCATAAATGTAAAAGAAATAATAGTGCTGCACCCTGTTGGTAATCCTTGTAACTTTAATGCTATTGAACATCATAGAACAGAACCAACTTGTTTAATTGAAACAGCTGTTAAGATTCATTAATTCCATTTCTCATAAGGTTAACATGGGAAACTCCAGAGCCACTGGGGCGGAGCCTATTGGACGGATCACGAAATTGATGGTGTATAAACCTATTTCATGACATTCTACACGTATGTACCAAGTTTCGTGGCAATCGGTTCAGCGGTGTCCGAGTTTATCACCCCCAAACAAACAAACAAACAAATATATATACAAACATCCTCTTTTATAGATATAGATATATATCTAATATATAAAATTCTCGTGTCACAGTGTTTGTCTGCAAACTCCTCCGGAACGACTTCACCGATCGTTATGAAATTTGGTGTGTAAATTCTGTAGGTATGCGAATCGGACGTAAACTATTTCCCGTTTCGAAATTCTTAAAAGGGCTCCGCCCCAGTGGCTCTGGAGTTTCCCATGTTAACCTTATGAGAAATGGAATTAATGAATCTTAACAGCTGTTTCAATTAAACAAGTTGGTTCTGTTCTATGATGTTCAATAGCATTAAAGTTACAAGGATTACCAACAGGGTGCAGCACTATTATTTCTTTCACATTTATGACAACAGCTAATTTGCAACCAAAAGGTGAGTGAGCGTAGCGAACGAACTTCAACCTGGAGGCGAGTGAGCGTAGCGAACGAGCTAACCTGGAGGCGAGTTAGCGTAGCGAACGAGCTCCAACCTAAAGGCAAGTGAGCGCCTAACAGAAAGTTAGATGTAGTGGAATATACTTGAAGTGAAGTTGGCTTTTATTCTTGGACTGTTAAGGACCTCCTCGTTTATATGGTTGTGCTCCTTCGTTGGCAACAAATAATGCAAACGACATAGCATTGCGGCATTTCCAAAATAGAAAAAAATACTGTAAATTGGCTGTTACGTAAATATTGACGTTTACATGCATTGTTAAACAACGTATCTTATAAAAGATGGAGTGATCTAGTTTGAAAGGAATATGACCTTTCTGTCATGACAGTAGCTGGTTAAATAGTATTTACTCTTTGTGCCTTTTTTACAGCCAAACTCTCGTGTTATTTTCAATCATGTTAACAACCCAGTGGGCCACGGTTCGTAATATAGGCCACCGCAAATAATTTGTCAAGATAGGGAGGCCTACCATTTTAGACAAGGTTTCTGTCTTTGGATGTTATTAGATACGATAAGAGCACAATAAACTTCTTCTGCAAATAAATAATCTGCTGGAGAAATATAAGCCGAATTATAAATGCTACAATGCGAGTTCGAGCATTTTGTAACTATATGGGTAAGTTACATAGTATTTTTTAAGCTGCTTTTAGTATTTTTTCCAGTTCACTTTAAGAATATATTTTTTAGAGATAAATTAAACGGTTTTTGTTGCTGAGTAGCGCTTGTAAACATGCACAACCCATTTTGTTATTCTAATAACATTCAATGGCTTTCTAAGAGTTCAAATTATTGTTTGCATACATATCTATATTATGTGTTCACTATGCTGAATGAATACATCGAAGTAACCTCTCTGAAAGGTCTGTAGTAAATTTCAGTTATACAGCTTAATGACTTTCTAAATCATGCACATATTTCTAAATAAATATTGTAAAATGTTTTATCCGGTTGCTGTAAACTACTATTAATTTAACAAAATATAGACACGGCTCAAATGGGCAACGTGCCCTTCTGCACTTGTATTATTTTGTATTGTATTACACAATCGAAGATTTTTCCAATGATTGAAGACATGAACCTATGATGATCAGTAGAATAATATGATAAAATGTAGGCAAAAGTGGTGAAAAAAGGCAGACATTAACCCGTACAACAGATATTAGATAGTTAAATAAGAAATTATTGTAAGAGTTCTGTGATAAAAGGAATTTACCCTGATTTCGTAATATAACGTTATATCAATTTTAAAATCAGAAAATAACATTGCAAATACATCTTTTGGAGAACTCAGATACTCCCAATAATATGTGTTGTTTAAAGCACATTTTAAAAACTAACAGCTGTTTCATTAAAAAGTATTATCCACATGGCCAAAATGTAAACAAATGTGTCGAGGGATCTTTAAAGGCTTCTAGGGCAGAGCCCTGAGGGACATTACTTTGTGTTTCTTTTGATAAATCACCTACAGACCAAGGCCTTTCTTTGGAGACCTCTACCAAGTTTCTACGTCCAGCCGTTCTCTCAAATTAGTGTAGACAAAGTTTCCAATTAAATATTTAGATTCCCCTATGTTAATCTTATGGGTGAAAATCTAACTTTGATGGAAGATCCTGCCCAAACTAATACAGATTTCAAAAAACTAAAAACACTTTGTTAAACTACAGATCAGGGCCATTCTTTTGACACTTTAATCTTCAAAATCGGTCCATAAATGAGGGAGGAGTTCTGTTTACAAAAATCGGCTTAGCGTATTATATATGTAGATGTATCCGATAACAAAAAATATTCACGTTTAGCCTTGTTGAATGCCATTGTTCTTTAATGTTTGCATTCTTATTCATTAAAATAATTCAGATTTTAACTTGGTTTTTGGTTTTGGTTAACTATGATAACCACAGATATTAGTAAAAGTCAGGGATTTGAAATCTGAAACTGAAATCATAATCCTAAAAACATCGTCACAAACCAAGAACACAAGTTCAAATGTGATAAAATACAACAGAACTTACTGTTAAATCACATGGATAAGTGACATGGATCGTGATAGTTTCCCAAATTCGTGATTTTCAATGACGCAACACGAGTAAAATCAGTTTTTTTGGGTGGTTTTCAGTGATTATTCAAAAATTCAAATTTTCCTGTCCCTTACAAAATTTATGTACAATTCATGAATATTTTCTCGGTGTAACATCTCTGGTCAAATTAATTTAAAATATTGCTTTAGTCATTTTCTTACATCACTTTATGACAAAAAAAAATATTTCCCAGTTATTAAAAATTGACGTAACAAGAATTGGGGCTTGTAGTGGGTTGTTGTACTCACTTTTAGCCACTTGTCGACACACTTGGCGTGGAACTCGTGTGAGCAAGGCAGACCTCGCAAGATCTGACGGGGCTCAAAGTCGCACATACACACCACACAGGACGTCTGGTCTCCCTGGTGAGTCTCTGCGTTGAATCTGGAGATATATGTGCTTTAGTTAAACTTGGCAAGCACACAGCAAACCTTGAATTATCCCAACATACGGTAGTCTGCACATTATTATACTTTTATATCATTGTTTTTATTTAGTTAGGTTTATAACAAAACATACATTTTAATTGTCGAGTTTCTTCATGTAAAAGACGTATATTATATTGGTGCTACATCATCTATATCTATAAAAGAGGAACTATGTATGTGTGTGTCATACTTGGGAATAACGAATAGAAATTCTAACGAATAGCGCTATTCGTTCGGTTTTTTGGCTAACTTCTATTTTATTCGTTGGTTTTTAAAAAGAGCTAGAAATAACTTCTACTCCGTTAGTTTAATAGACAACGAATAGATAATATATTCACTAGTTTTAAATCGTTAGCTTTTCTGGTCAGGCGAAAGTATTTCCAGTACGGGTTATTTATTTTACGTGTTCAGTGAGGGTTGCGTGTTGAGTGTGTGAGAGGTCAGCGCCCTTGTGACAAACAACGTGGGGGGTGGGGAAAGAGAAAGTCAAAGTCCAGTGGCTTTGGTATGCAGCGGACCCGGGGGCGAGCTAATGGCAGCCAATAACAACACCCCAAGCACCGAAGGGTGGGAAGGAGGAATGTTTGTTTGGCGATTAATATGTACTGTTATCTCAAGTGTCAAAACAATGTCTTCACTTCAGTCGATGTTCAATATCTGACCGTGACAGGTGTTAATTTTTTGTTAGTTTCTTAGTTGTCTTGTAGTTATATATATTTTAGTGATAGTTAAATATTTTAAATACATAAGTTATTAAGGTGAACAGTTTTAATTAAGTATGAGTAGATTAATAATATTTGTTTACAATGCCGGACGAGTGTGATATCAAGTGACCAATCTTAAGTGACATATTTCAACAAGTTGAAAAAATTAAAAGGGTGGGAACGCGTTAAAATGTTTATTGTGTTTGGACCCAAAACAAAAATAATTAAAGCATCTATCACAAGTGCTTCGAGGTAAGTGGAGAAAAAGTATGATGGTCTCGATTTAACTTGAAGTGGAATAGGCCTACATATATTTTTTAATTAATATAATTTTTATTTTTTAGTACAGCTATAGTGTATTTCTCAATGTGTTTCCCATGCTCTTTTAAACTTTATCTCGCCACAAATAGGTCACTTTTAAATTTAGTAGTAAACTATACTTTTATCACACTGGAAAAAATACTTCATCAGACTTCAAAAAATTATCTGATATTTCCTAATCCATTAATTGCTGTCCATTAATTGTTGTACAATAAATTTTAGTGTAAGATTCAGCTAATTGAACATCAACCCAATTCTTCTTGAGCTAACCGGGAACTTCAGTCTAAAGTTCCCGGTTAGCTCAAAACACAGTTTTTCAGTTGTAACTTATGTTTGTGTATCGAAAGTAATGTTTATGTCAGGAAAGGTGAGATGATCACTATTTGTTTTTGTCTTTTGAACTATTGAAAACAGAGTGATGACAAGTTTTTGTATCACCTTTGTCGGGGAAATAAATATGTGCACTCGAGTTTGAGCCTAAATATATCTGAGATGAATTATTCGATTTTGTTGAAACAAAAATTTAATATAAGCTGTTTTAAATACCTTTTACGTGGTGTCAATTAAAAAAATTTCCGTTTACCAGAAAAATTTATATAGTTGAAAGATCCTAAAAAATACCGGTTTTTAAGAAACTCTGCACTAACACTGAAGTTTAAAATTTATTTGTAAACAAACAGAGCCAATCTTTCTGAAATTGTTATGGCTTATTGGTAGGTTCATTTTTAACATTTCCATGCATTTTAAAAATTTTATTCACAATAGTGTTTATGCTGCTGTTAATTTTTAAAACGTATGCTAACATCGTTAATAAGACACTGAAAATTTTGTTCAAAATACCATCGTGTTTGCCGTGACACAAGAAATAACACCAATATGACAGATTTTATAATGCGAACAAAGTTGGTTTTTAAACAGATTTATATTTGTAGACAAAAATTTCTCCTGTGACTGATAGCGGGCCGCCGGGTGTTTGTACGATATTTCCCAGCCGGGCGGGAGCACACTGCAAATCTGCAACGTTGCCGATGTGTACCTGGCTACCACACTAACATTGCTTTAGTATTCACTCACGGCAAACTAATGTGTAAATAATTATTTAGTTATAAATTAACATAAATTTACTAACAAAATATTCACTAGTCATGAAACAAATACATTATAATAAGATAGATATAAATCTACAAATTAAAAAACACCTTTGTCCACTGCAAACGCCTGTTCAGAGCGGCAAGCCTAGTCATTACTAACAGAGTAACAGACGAGGAAGAATCAGCGACACCAATTTTGAAAAACAACTTCTTTTAAAGTTTAATTGGCATTTAAAGTAAATTTTGTTGTAGTAATGAATGTTTTTACATTACATGTAATGTAAATGTGACGATGTTTAATTTATATTTAATTAAAACACAATAATTAGTAACCAAGATGTGTCATTATTTCATTACATATGAAATCCTTTAAAACAACCGTCCAACAAACAGCTATCTTCTACAAATGTCGAAAACTAACTTTATTTTCTATCAGTTAGTTTTTCAACTAACTTATAACTTCTATCAGTTACTTTTTAAACTAACTAACTATTAACTTCTATCAGTTACTTTTTATGGGACTAACTTCTAACTTCTAACTAGTTAGAAATTTTGACTAACTTTCCCAACTGTGATGTGTGTATATATATATATACGTTATGGACTCCGAAACTGCTCGACAGATTGTAATGAAACTTTCAGGCATTATTAAGCATCTTTCAAGGATGGTTCAAGTGAAGTTTGGTGCATATCTGTCAAAAGGGCTCTGCCCCAAAGGGTTTTAAGCATAGTTGGGAAAGTTAGTCAAAAATTCTAACTAGTTAGAAGTTATAAGCTAGTCCTGTAAAAAGTAACTGATAGAAGTTATAAGTTAGTTAGTTTAAAAAGTAACTGATAGAAGTTATTAGTTAGTTGAAAAACTAACTGATAGAAAATAAAGTTAGTTTTAGTAGAAATTAGTTGTTTGTTGGGCAGTTGTTTTAAAGTATTTTTTAATGTCACATCTTGGTTACTAATATCTATAATGTTAAAACGAAACAGTGTTTTTTTATTTCACGATTCTGAATCAACCACTCGACGGATTTTCATGATTTTTGTGTTGAAAGAAAGATAATTTTGAGAACTAGGGAATGTCGAAGCCATAATTTTAGTTTAGGGTCCCAGTTTTTTAGAAATTAAGTTTTAATTTTAAAAAAGTCTAGCAGCCGACGCTAAGATTCTAAACTAGCTTTTGGCATAAAATAATTTGCTTAACATAACAGCTGTAAACATTCAGCATTTGTGTCACAAATTCAGCATTTGGATAAAAATGTAAAGACATACTTAGGGTTGACTTATTTATACTATGTGTAATGCTAATCATTATTACGTTCAATTCTTCTGTAAGAGGATGACAGATTAATTAAATATACATAGTAAAATACTACGATGTTCAAATCATTTTTAAAGCAATCTTTGTAATCTTCGATTTGTTTTAGAAAAATATAATTTGTTTTAACTAACAGCTGGTTAAATATAAACTATGGAACTATTAGGTTATTTTATTTACTCTTATTTTGTCATTGATTATAGGAAATAAGTAAGATTAGTAGAACACAGTTTAAAATACTATAGACCAAAATTAATTAAACCACAGTACAAATCGAGGTTCTGTACTTGAGTCTTAATAAAAAAGGACAAATGCAAATTATTTTACTGTTCTACTTTTCAAGGAAAGAATAGAAAAATAACACTGTTTACATGTTTTAAATTCTTCATTGTAGCTTTTTGTTTACAATTCATGTTTGTCTGCTTTAAGTTTGTTTGGATTAGGCCCGGAAATATTGATGTCATAAAAAAAAGATCAAGAATAATCAGGAATCACGATTTTAAATTACCACCACATCAACCTCTGCCGGGTTTTATACGTACAAAGATAAACAGATGAATGACATAGATTGAACACAACGTCAACATTGACCTAGGATACTGCAATTAGACAAAACATCCTTTTATGAAATCATGTTCAGTTGTGGTTACGTTTGGGGGTGCCTATATCAGCGCCCCCAAACGTGAAAATATAACTTTTATCTAACTATGAATTATTATTCAACTATGAATATATTGTAGTTTAAATTAACTAATATATGGGAAATTATGATGTACATTTATTCAATGAGGGTAGGTAATTATCAAGGATAGAACTGACAATGGTATGGATAATAAACATTGACAATTACGTCATTAGCTTTACTAGCGTGTTTACTTTTTATATTCCTGCTACATGTGACCAAATGAATGTTCAAATGAATGTTATTTGAACCAAACAGCTGTTTCAAAACAAACTGTTATTGTTTTTGCTTTTCTTTGTTTACACTTATTTATTTAGCAATGAATGCAGTGAAATTTATATAAAGGATAGGTGTGACGATTAGTTTTGATGTTAGGACACCAAAGTTAAATTATGTTTACTGTGAATTTTATTGGATAGTATCTTTTTATTTTAGGTCGTTTCTATTCAGACCTACTGGAAATTGTGTATAGTAGTTGTGTTGTGGGGATAATAATTATGGAAGAGGCAGGTATGCTATAGAAGGTGGTATCGTTGACTAGGTCTACACAACTATACACTTCTCAATTGACTATTACTCTCTCTACTGTAGGCTACTTATAATCAGTGTGCGTCTGTGCGAATCGTCTGCCAATCTCACTTCAATGCTTTTCACATCGTAAAAATTGCAGAATTACTGTTTTATTGTAAAATTATCGGATTTGAAATGCATACCTATCGTATAGGCCTATAATGGAATAACACATATTTTGTCACACAACATATGTTTACAAGATGATTTTTCACATTAAAACTGCAAGAAACTTTGTCTTTATATGTGTAAACTATCTGAATTGTACACGGTTTTAACTGACTACTAAATTCCCGTACGTAGGACGGGCTAACACCTCGTATACTATAATATGAGTAAAGATTGTGCACGATATGATTTTAAAAAATGGCTCCTACGATTTCCTCCGATTTCAATGCTATTGAAAATTGCTTGTATAATACATTTGCATTGTATGATGTCTTACTAACCAAAGGGATAATTACGACTGTTCAAAAACATTAAGTGTTTTACTGCAAAACAATATACACTGACATTGAACTAAAAATCTAAAGGAAAGGCCAAGGAGATTTGTATTTTTCGACGATGCACCGCACGAATTGATGCGTTATTACACCATCCCGTAATTATAGTTGCAACGTTCCACGATCCCAGTGACTTAATGCAATAACCGTCGTCAGATAACAGATGTTATGTATCATGAGTTTTATATTGATTGAAGCTTATTGTGGACATTTTATAGATTGATCGTCCAGATTAAAAAGTTTTGTAGACTAAATTGAGGATAAGTGGATGTCTAACAAAAACGAATTGACTTTACTACTTAATTAATCGTAGTAAAACTGAAAATATTTGTTGGCTTATAAGCTCTATTTTTTACCTCTTGAACAAATCAAACACCTCGAGCAAGATCGGTCCCCTGGTACTTGTGTTTTAATCAAACATTGTCACATTTTACATTACTACATCATAAACAAATGACATAAAACTTGTCACATAATGAACATCAACTAAAGACAATGTTTTGACACTTGAGATGATATATCAATCACCAAACAAACATTTCCCCTTCCCACCCATCAGTGCTTGGGGTGTTGATAATGGCCGTCACTACCCTTCCACAGGCCCACTGCATTCCAAAGCAACTGGACTTTGACTTTCTCTTTCCCCACCCCCCGCGTTGTTTGTCTACAAGGGCGCTGACCTCTCACGGCCACACGCAACCCTCACTGATCACGTGAAATAAATAACCCGTATTTGAGATGCTTCCGCATAATTGGGAAAGTTAGTTGAAAATTCTAACTAGTTAGAAGTTATTAGTTAGTCCCGTAAAAAGTAACTGATAGAAGTTATAAGTTAGTTAATTTAAAAACAAACGAATAAAATAGAAGTTAGCAAAAAAAACTAGCTAATAGTGCTATTCGATATAATTTCTATTCGTTATTCCCAAGTATGGTTTTAAGTGGGCCAATGTCAGACTTTTTGGTCTACAATGTTTACAAATAAATATGATTTAAAAGCAGATGTTTACTTTCACCAACTGTTTTGTAGGTTTGAATAATTACAATATTCTGTATTAGCATTAGTCGTGATTTGAAATAGTGCCACAGTGTTTCTACAGAGTGCAGTAAAATAGAAAACTATTTTACTTTTGAATAAGTCCAAATGTATTAAACCCCAATCGCAGCACACCTGTGCACTTAACAACGTTTAAATTCTCCAATGTTAAACATTAAAACATAAAAACCTTTATCAAAGTATTATAAACAATAAAAGGGATGACTTTTTAAAATTTATGATAACAGCTAATTTGCAACCAAAAGGTGAGTGAGCGTAGCGAACGAACATCAACCTGGAGGCGAGTTAGCGTAGCGAACGAACTTCAACCGGGACGTGATTGAGCCATGCGAATACTTATGAAGTTAAACGGGGCAAAGCCCGTGGGTACAGCTAGTTGTAGCATAAAAGACAATACTTTCCATCAAAAAAATTCAGTTATTCACTGTTCAATTCTAACTGATATGTATAACTTTTTATTTTCCACTCACTTGAAAGACGGGAGTTGTTCTATTTCAGTGCGGTGAAGACCTCGAGGCTTGGCCTCCCCGAGCCGCTCGGCTAGACTCAACAGTGCCTCGTAGTTCTCTGTCTCAGTAGAGTCTGGAGAGCTCAGCTCATTCTGACTAAATGGAGACAACGGTGGATTGGAGAACATCGCCCTGCAACATCACCAATCACACTATCACCTGGCCAGTTTTTTTTCCTGAAGGGCTAGGCACGAGCCTGGGTTTGTTTTTCACAATACTTCAGGCTAGACCTAGGGGTTGCGGCATTATCACTTAGATAAAATCCATTGGGGATTTGAACCCGGGACCTCAGGGACTGACGTCCCGCGCTCTAACCAACTAGACCAGCTCGCTCCCCTACCACCTTGCCAGTAGCATCGCAAGAAAATAAGTTCCTCAGTTCTTGGTACAAAATCGGTACAGTATGTGGTTACCAGAATTTTTGCTGTTACCTTCTTAGTATTGTACTGAATTTAAACATTTGTTTTTAATTTTGATAAATTGACATTACTATGAAAATTTATGGTAACCAACATTTATGTTTTTCGATCAACAATTATTAGACCAAGTCCGAAAAACCGAAGGTTCGTTTTAATTAATGTAAAGAAGTACCTAATCAAGTTCTCATCATTCCACGTCAACAGTTCCTATGCAAGTTCCCATACTTCTGGGACAACAAGTTCAAGAATTAGTCAGACTACCAGCTGATGAGAGCATAGAACCCCTATGGCCACAATACCTGCTCTCAGAAACCCTCAGATTACCGTAAAGACTATGTTACAAAAATAAGTTGTGTAGATTGTAGTATCCTATATACAGGGTGTTTTTAAAAGAATGCCGGGATTTCAAACGGTCGTTGCTTGGGGACTATTCAAGATAATTAAACGATTTAAACGTCAAATTGAAGGGAAAAGAATAAAGTTTTTTTCTCATTCTTTCATACAATCCGGAATGATTGATTAAAGTTCAAATTTGAATTAATCTTACATGAGCGTAAAACTGGCTGATGTCTTAACTGAATCTTTTTCGGCACAAAGACCATATTTTATAGATAACATCATAAAGTGACCAATTTAGGTTCGTTGAACTGAAGACTTCGTCGGACAATCGATTTTTCGGGCTTCTGATGCAGAATTGTCGGATTTCTTCGACTATGTTGTAACGTTGCTAGTAATGTTTGAAACAAGGGGAAATCGGACTGATCACCCGATAGGAATTATTGCTGTTTGGAGGGACGCCTTCAACTGCCCCAATACATAATATTGCTAGTAGGTCTTGCAATTGCCGCCTCGCCACTGAAGGAGCAAGGGAAATTCAATCTGTAGCCAAGGGTGCTACACGTGCCGACCATCAGTAGCCCTCAGGTTTGTGCATGAGTACTGATAAGCCCAGCTGATGGATAAGGAAAACTGTGCATTTATGGTGTGGAAGCCGACCTGACTGATTGTGGATATCCAGGACAAGACCCTCTTCTCTTCAGGAATATTTTATTGAGGATATTATTTCAAGAGGTAATGCAGATATTTTATTTGTAAATTTTATGTTTCAAAATCAAAGTATAAGTAGTTTTGTTGCCTTGAATGATTAATATTGTTGGAATTATAAAATTCTAACATTGACTTTTCATGCATAGACAATCTCAAAAAGCACATGTTTCAAAAACTTTGAAAATAGGTAAAATAATATTTTATAAGGAATTTTTGCTGAAAATCAAAGTAAAATAAACGTTATGGGTGTTAATTTTATATCAAGCATAACTTGAAATTTAAAGCTAACTATTGTTGTACATAAAATTTTGTGAATATTGAGTGAAGTAAATTACAATCATTGTTGGGCTGTAAATGTTAAAATATTAAAAAGCCAGTAGTATTTTATTAAATTAATTACTTGGTTTTGCTGAAAACTGTAAATAATATCTGTAAATAATATCTCAAACATTAGTAAATTTGTAAATATTATATTTGGAATAATCAACATTTTATGTAGCTACCTTGTCTAGGTCAAACTTATTTAATTGTACATATTTTATGTTCCATTTTGTCAATTTTAACTGGGTCAAAAATCATAATTAGTGTTCTCATTGTTTGATGTATAATTTAATATGTAATAGTTTCTTGAGGTTAAAATAATTATTGCATGATTTCAATGCATCATAGTAGGTGTGATACAATGTGTTATTCATACTGTATAAGCTTTTGGGCAGTTACAATTGTAGCATATTATTTGGAATACAGATCAAACAGATTATTCTGCAGATAATATCCAGGACCTTGCATTATCACAAGAAGTTGTTTACAAAGTTGCATATTTTTATCTATCTATCTATATATTAATAGGCAAGCATGTTTCTTTAAAACCTTTTTTCTCAGCTCGTGTGCATCGTAGGGAAATTCTACGCATACCGTTGGAAAGCTATTTTCCTGTAGGTGTGCAGAATCCCTTTATAAATTTAAATAGGCTCAAAGATAAGCACAAAAAATGAGTTTAAAAATTTGAAAAAATTAACATGGATCTTATGCGTTGCTATGCTGGTTACGAAATAACAACGAAATATAAACAGAAAATCAAAACAAATGGAGGAAACTCCAATCACATGTTTTATTTACAGTGTGGGGTGAAAATAGATAAGTGAGTACATTACATATTTTTGGTCGAGTTTCGACCACTGGACGACCTCTCGTTATCTTTGAACTAGGGTGATTATCTTTGGTGGAAATATTTGGTAAAATTTAAATATTTATATTTATGTAGGATTGTTATTTGTAATACTCACTAGAACAAATTGGTTGAATTATTTATTTAAACAGGGAACAACTATTGCATTTATTTAATGTTTTGGTTTACAACACAACTCATTTTATATTCAAATCTGGTTGCAAGAGCATAATTCATTACAATCACATTCAAAAGTTATGTTTTGGCTTAAAAGTGTGGCACTAGAACTTGTTTGGTTAAATACATATCTATTATGTTTATGGTGAGATCATGTACTATTCAGTAAGGAATTTTGTAGGGTTTTTTGGCTACTGCTGCTGGGATTTGATCCAACAGCCTGGACACTCTGGTCACTGCTTCGTACTCTACCGCACTTGGTCTACCCACTACTATGTTCCTGGACATGTGGACCTGGACTGCCTGACTGGTCAATCACCACTGATGCTGTGGACCTACCTACTTCAGACTGAGCCCAAGATCATCTGTCTTCAACCGATAAGTCAGACATCTTATTCTTTAGTCCAAAATATCTTACCATCTGATCTCACAGCTTATCCCGGATTAAACAAATAAACCTTTGGCTAGCCAGACATTGTGGACACTTGGTGCTTGAGTGCCCCACCTCTAGGTGTGTGTGAGACTATTAAGTGCCACAGGAATATTTGAGTGCCTGGATGTCGACCCGCCACATCGGAGAATATTTATTACTAGGGGAAACCCGTCGAAATCGACGGTTACTTTCAAGGCTTACGTTAATACAATACAATACAATACAATACAATATTCTTTATTGTTAATTCTTCAAGAATTACAATAGTGTCAATACAATAGTAAATTGTACATGTTAATTTTCATAAAATTCCTTTATTGAGTAGAAGGGTCTTGCGATTAGCCACTTCTTCAGCTCCTGGTGTAGCTTGTTGCCAGTCAGGTCTCTCAGGTAGTCAGGTAGATGGTTCCTCAGCTTGCAGCCGGTGTAGGAAGGTTTTTTCTCCCAAAGAGTTGTTCGGTGAACTGGTAGTGCAAATTTGGAGCCATGACGGGTGTTGTAGTGGTGCAGGTCTTGGTTTCTTGGGGGGTTTATTTCATTCACATACTTAATGGTTTCAAGTATGTAGAGAGACACCACTGTGAGGATTCCTAGGTTTACGAATGCTAGTCTGCAAGTCTGTGGTGGTACAAGGTTGGCGAGGGCTCTTATGGCTTTCTTTTGAAGGACAAGAATTCGATTCATATTTTTTGTTGAAGTTCCTCCCCACACTGTCAAGCCATATCTAAGATGCGACTCTACCAGTGCGAAGTAAGCTGTTTTGGCCACAGAGAGTCCGCCTATGTAGTTTATCCTTCTGACGACATATATTCCAGTACTGATTTTTTTGCTTAGGTGGTTGATGTGCTCTTTCCATGTTAGTTTGTTATCAAGGATAACACCGAGAAATTTTGTGTAGTTTTCTATTGTTACATCCTCTAATTGAGGGACTATGTCTTTTTTCTTACTGAAATTCAGAGTTGTAGTTTTTGTGGGGTTTATTGCTAAGTCATTGTTCTTTGAGTAGAGGATAGCTTTATTTAAGATCGATTTTGAATTAAGGTATAGGCTTTGGGCTGTGTTGTCCTTGATCAAAATGGTTGTGTCATCTGCATACATGATTGCAACAGCATTTTCACTCTCAATTTGTTTGGGGAAGTCATTAGTCAATAAGATGAATAGAATCGGGCCTAATACAGAGCCTTGTGGAACTCCTCTCGTCAGCTTGCTTTTTGAAGATTGAAACTTTCTGTGACTTCATTTGATGAGTTTTTCAGTTCCACGACTTGTGAACGTCCCGTTAGGTAGCTTTTGAACCATTCTAGCGCAGAGTTTCTTATGCCGAGTCTTTCAAGTTTCTTGCATATCAGGTCGTGGCCCAGGCAGTCAAAAGCCTTACTGTAATCAAGGAAGATGGCGGAAATGTATTGTTCGTTTTCTATCTGGTCTATGACGTACTCAATTAGTGCTGTTATAGCTGAGGATGTAGATTTATTCTTCCGAAAGCCATGTTGGTTGTCAGTTAAGAGTTTGTTATGATTAAGATGTGCCATTAATCTAGCCAGAGCAATTTTTTCTATGATTTTAGAGAAACTGGAGATGAGAGAGATGGGCCTGTAGTTTTGAGCATTTTCAGTTGGTCCTTTTTTATGTTTGGGGTATATTTTACTGACTTTTATGGCGGATGGGAATTTGCCTTCTTTAAATGATTTATTTATAAGATAAACCAGAGGAGAGATGAGTTCTTGAGAGCAGTGCTTTATCATCTTAGAGGAAAACTCATCTATTCCACTTGATGTTTTGGCTTTTAGGGAGTTTATTATCGTTTTAACTTCTTTATAGGATGTTGAAGTTAGGGTAAGGTGTATTGGGCAGACTGGTTCCTCTCCACTCAGCACTGTTTCAGGGT